GTCCCCTGGTACAGTGTCACTTTAAGTGAGAGCTGCTTGCTAACAGTTCCATGAGATGTGTCGTGACATCCTAACTTGTGTAAGGTGACATGTCATTGTGGTTTTATTTTGATTTCCTTGACGATTAGCGATGTTGAACACCTTTTCATTTTAGGTCTTTTTTTGAAAAAAAAAAAAAAAAATGTCTATTCAAGTCCTTTGCCCAATGTTAAAATTGGATTATTTTCTGGTTTGCTCTTGAGTTGTCTGAGTTCTTTATATATTTTCAACATTAGTCCTTTATCAGATATTTGCTTCGCAAATATTTTTTCCCATTCTGTAAGTCGTCTTTTCAATTTATCGACTGTTTCCTTGGCTTTCAGAAGCTCTTCAATGTAGTCTCACTTGTTTATTGTAGTTTTTGCTGCCTGTGCTTTGGTGGCTTAGCCAGGAAATCATTGCCTAGGATTTTTCTTCCTATGTTTTTTTTCTAGAAGTTTTATGGTTTCAGGTCTTACATTTAAATCTTCAATCCATTTCAAGTAAATTTTTGTGAGTGGCATAAGGTTGAGGTCCAGTGTCATTCTTTTGCATGTGGCTATCTGGTTTTCCCAAGATCATTTATTGAAGAGTCTGTCCTTTCCCCATTGTGCGTTCTTGACAGCCTTGTCAAAAATTAGTTAATTACATATATGGAAGCTTATGTCAGGACTCTCTATTCCACTGATTTACATGCCTATTTTTATGCCAGTACCATACTACTTTGATGACTATAATGTTATAATACAGCTTGAAATCAGGTGTGGTGATGCCTCCAGCTCTGTTCTTCTTTCTCAGTATTATCATTTGGCTATTTAAGATCTTTTGTGGTTCCAAACAAATATTAGGACAGTTTTTGTTTGTTTGTTTTTGTTTTTGTTTTTGTGAGAAATGCTATTGGAATTTGGATCAGGATTGCATTGAATCTGTAGATCACTTTGGGTCATGTGGACATTTTCATAGTATTCTTCCAATCCAGGAACATGAAATATCTTTCCATTTCTTTATGTCTTCTTCAGTCTCTTTTTATTAATGTCTTATAGTTTTCAGTGTACAGATTTTTCACCTCCTTAGTTAAATTCACTTCTCAGCATCTTAGTTTTCAATATTATTGCAAATGGGATTGCTTTCTTAATTTCTGTTTCAGATACTCCGCTGTTAGTATACAGACACGCAACCGATTCCTGTGTGTTGATTTTATATCCTGCAATTTTGCTGAATTCATTTATTAGTTCTAACAGTTTTTAGTGGAGTCTTTATGGTTTTCTATATATAAGGTGTCATTTGTGAACAGAGATAATTTCACTTCTTCCTTTCTGATCATGGATGCCTTTTATTTCTTTTTCTGCATAATTGCTTTGGCTAGGACTTCCAGTACTATGATGAACCATCATTGCATCCCAAATATATATCGCACTTGATCATGGTGAATGATCCTTTAATGTGTTGTTGAATTCGGTTTGCTAATATTTTGCTGAGAATTTTTGCATTCCTATTCATCAAGGATATTGGTCTGTGATTTTCTTCCGGCGTCTCTGTCTGACTTTGGTATCAGGGTAATGCTGGCTTTGTGAAATGAGTTTGCGAGGGTTCCCGCCTCTTCCAGTTCTTCGAACCGTGTGCGAGAAGTGTTGGTGTTTATTCTCTGTGTTTGGTAAAATTCACCAGTGGAACCATCTACTCCTGGACGCGTCTGAGCCTTGACCTGCCACGGGAGTCAGGTTCAGGGTCGTGTCAGTGCCCCTGACAATGAGGGGTCAGAGCCAGGACCTGAGACCCAGGGGATGGGGCTCAGGGCGGCAAGAACCCATCTCAACAATGACATGGGATGCAGGGCAGCGAGGCTCGGCAGAAGCACAGCCCCAATCATGGCAGCCGAAGTGTGACTTGGGACCCTGGGGGCAGGGCCCAGAGCAGGGAGGCCGTCTCGGTAATGCTGGGGAGAAGCCAAGCTGGGCAAAGAGCAGTGACAGCTCAGATCTTGGTTACGGCAAAGTGCTGTGGCACCAGACCCCTGAGAGAGAGAGAGAGGTGACGGGGCGGGGGAGGTCGCAGCAGCATCCGGGGACTCCGAGGGCGGGTCTCACCTCGGCAACAGCTCCAGCGTCTGGGAACAGATGCAGAGGTGGGGCGCTCAGGTTGTTGAAGGCTATGGGAGACCTCTCTGGCAAAAGCTGCGAATGTTCGCAGGGTGAGGCTTGCGGGGTGGTGGTGGTGGTGGTGGGGTCTCCTTCTCCCCTACCCTGCGGTGAACTTCCCCAGGGCAACTGCTGGGGTTGGGGCGATGCGGGCGAGGTGCTTCCTTCACACTTGGGTGTGGCCATCCTCGACTTTTGAGCTCTGCCGGGTTTCTACTGCTGCTGCTTTGTTGTCTAGACCTTTTCCTGAGCTGTTTTCTTCAATATGTAGCTGTTTATTTTTTGTTGTTCTTGGTTTTTTTTTTTTTTTTTTTTTTACGGTGGTGGGAGCGCGGATGCACGTCGGGAGCTCCTAGCCTTGCACCTTGCTGACGTCACTCCCAAGTCCCTCATTCCTATAGATGAGGTGAACGAGGTCCTGGGAGATGAGATGCTTTGCTCAGGAGGATACTACAAGGTTGCGACTGGAAATTTTATTTTGATTTTTTTCTCCTGATTTTGCCGAGGAATTGGGTGTAATCTCATAGGCGCGAAAACAACAAAAGCAATTTAAAACTGAATATGAAATGTGTTTTTGAACATTTATTTATATCTTGATCCTGTTGCCTCAAAATATTTTCAGCCTCCTGGTTCATAAATAAAAGTCCTTATTTGAATATAAAATATTAATGTATTCTTGCTGGGAAGTTACAGAAGTGACAAATAAATTAATTGAGGATGATAGGATTCTAATGAAGTAAATCATTCTTGAAAGGGCTCTATGAAATAGGCAGTTGTGCGTTTTCAGTATTCAACCCCAAATAATTCACCTTTTGCTGTTTTTTATGCATTTCTGATTTCTGTGCATTTTTAATTTCTCTTCGTTATTTCTTTGTAGGCAGAATAACCAGAACCTTACAAATAATACTGGAAGTTGTACCAGAAGAAGATTGTCATTAATTATGAATTAATGCATTTGAAATCTTGGCAATCTATCCTTGGCCTTGTTTCTGCCGAAAAGGCTGAAACAAAACATGGACGTTCACTTCATTTTATGAAAATCCAGAGGATTGCAACTTTGGTGATGGACTGAAAGGAATCAGTTATTTCTGTTTGTATCGTTTAGTGTATTCAAACTGGTTTCTAAGAAATTTAATTATAACTCCATGTAGTTCTAGAAAACTGATATGCAACTGTACTATGAGTTCACGTGATTCTTGAGTGCCTGATACCCACCTTTTGAAGTTAGGGGGAAAAGACTGTGGAATGGACAATTACTTCAGTGGTCTTTCGCTGTAATATATCTTACCATGGCTAAGAACCTTCAATTGGAGACTGAAATGTTTTCTATACGTATGGGTTTTGTACAAGCGGTTTTTACATACTATAGGTGACCATACTGTGAAAAGTGTTTTCTACTCTTCTGGAGGAAGAAAGAAAGACAAAGCAGGCATCATCACTGTGGACAGAGGAGAGAAATTTATTTTACATTGGCATTGCATTGCTTCCCCTGAGGTATCAACTTAGATGTCACTCATCTTTTAATGAGTGATACTCAGAGCATTTTGAACAAAGGACAGAGTTGGGATATGCCCAGTTTTAATGGATACGTTGAAGAAGAGCTGCTAGGGGCTACTGTTCATGAGACAAATCCACAAATTATGTTTAAGTAAAAATCCTTGAGAATTTATTAGGGGGTTTTTTTTGTTGTTGTTGTTGTTTGTTTTTTCCACTCATCGTTAGGAAGGCACGTGGTTATATGCCATTTGGTTTTTATGGCAGCTCATTTGATCAAGAAAGGATGTAACTTTCTTACAGCAAAGCCATACTCAGTTTGGTATTAAATCTTCTTAAGCACAATCACCTGTTTTGTGAATAATTTACCCTTGATAAATACACCTAAATATGTGCATTTTCGAATCTTCAAATTGCAATGTCAACACAAGACAGAAATCACCAAGAAAGAAAACGCCCAAAATATTATGCAGTGTTAGTAATTCCGAATTTCTTTTTGTTTCATAGCTATTTTTACATGGTGATGAATTTTGACAGGTTGTACATTTCCTTTATACATTTTATGTTCTGTTAAAATAGGTCTTCGGCTACAACTGTCCAGGTCAATTAGGAAAAGGCATATATTCACATAAAAACTGAGGAAGAAATGTCATTGATAAAGAAAACTTACAGCTGATGTTTCTAAAATTTTTCCACTTTTGTGTCTAGGCTCTGTCAGTAATTTCCTCACCTGAATTATCATTCAATTCACAAGAGATAACTGGTAACAAATTCACTGAAAGAAGGAGAAACTGTGCATGAATGTGTGTATCCATACAGGTGTTACATACTGGGTTTAGAAAATATTGTGCAATTTTCAAATGAGAGTCATAGTATGATGAAACCTGTTAACTGTTTAGTCAGCATATTTCATTCTTTAATTTTTTTGTCCATTTGAAAATAAGAATTTTTTGAAAGAATTACACTGATTAAAATCATTAAGAGAAGATGTATTATATTTTTTCTTAAATATAATCTCGCTTCGTTTGCCCTACATGATACACTGTATGTCGGTGCTGATAATGGTTACCGAATTTATAGACAATCGACTAAAATTGTAATAATAATTTATAAATTGGGCAATACCAATTCACTAATTTCAATTTTTACTCTTGATAACATTTAATACATGTCCAATATTGACATTTTGTCAGCCAAACCTAGTGTTTGGATCTCTAAGTGAACTCATAAAAATTCCTGCCTTTTTCTCTTATCATAGGGGTTCATATTTGTCCCATAGTCTATTTTCTATATCGACTCATCCATATCTCTCCCCACGGTATCGTCGCTGGTGGTAAAAATAGATTCCCTTATATCCAATTTTTTTTTTTTTTTTTAATACCTTAAGCCCGTGTAATCTAAACCGAAGAGTTCTCTGTCTAATGGAAAAAAAGGTCAAATCACTTGGAGAGGTTCAGGTGGTTCTTGATTTTTCCTGAGGTTAATGTGCTTATATCAACAGTGGCAGATAGGTATCTTCATTTTATTTGTTCGTTTATTTTTAGTTTAATGTCTCTTTAAATAGATCCTTGTACAAGCTAACCAAAATACTCGTTATTCATTCCATCATTATCAAAAATAGTTTTTTCACTGTTAACATTTCTAATACCTTTGAAATACTCTTTTAACCAGACAGAAAGCCAGTCAGTAATTTTTAAAGAAAATGATGGAGATGAAGTTGTACTTCCACATATTTTTAGGACACATCAGACAAGACACACGGTTTCTGTCATCGGGGAATCAGCCTTTTAAATTGCTTTTCAGAATGCTATCGTGTCCTAGAAGAGATGGCCGACTCTGGTCCCAGACATCAGCGTTAGGTGTGTGTACACGCAAGCATGCACACGTGCTTGTACCTTATCCTCCCCACTCCCACTGGTGCAGAAGTAAGTCAGATTCTTAGGTTATGTTAGAAATGCATGACAGTTTAACTAACACGAAAATATGTACGTTGGAACAAATTTCCGGGTTGTTTTTAGGTGTCTGATAAAATTGTTTGCCCAATCGCTATTTGCTGTCTCAGCAGATCGTTAGCCTGACTATAGTTACATCATTCAACAGAATTCTTCATGAACTGTAATTGCTCTTCAGGAAACTCATTATTTCATCTCCATCTGCAGATGGATGTAATGCCGGCTAAGAAAGGGAACATCTTTGACCTAACGTTGATTTCTTATAATTGAGGAATAGGTTATGAAAAGATAGAAAACTAAAGGTCAGAGTAGCGGGAAATGAAAGTGATTGGAGGTAATGATATTTTGGTGTAATTTATTATGCGACATAGTCAGAGAAATATTAAAAAATAATTGTCTGCTGTGCACAGGTGGGTATCCTGAGAATCTGATGAAATGTGGGCTTTGGTACCCCTCACTTAGGCATGCCCCCTCCGAGGTCCTGTGCCTAATTTTGCATTAAGAGCTTTGTATTAATTTTCTTGAAAAAGATCAGTAGACTACTTCTGGCCCTGTAAAATCTGCATTCATCCCTGTGAGTGAGATAAAATACTCCCATCACTTTTTCTATTGGAAGTAAGCATGGGCGTTTGTAGGATATATTTTTAAATAAAGTTGTCAGTTAGTTGAAGTACTCTGTATAAGTGGCTTTCTCATAATGTATATTATGTGCTATAAAAGGAGAGTTTCACCTGTGACGTATTTTATGTGTCAGTTCTGAATGATAGAAAAAAACAATGAGCGGTATTTTTCTCATAGCTCTTTTTCTTAGTCTGGAAAGAAATAGAGATTTGGGATTTGAATGCTGATGAGTCAAGAAATTTAATTTTTTCTTAAATATAATCTCGCTTCGTTTTGCCCTACATGATACATTGTATGCCGGTGCTGATAATGGTTACCGAGTTGTATTTGACCTTCCTCACCAAAGTCAGGAATTAAAGTATGTCATTGTGTAACTGGCAAGAGGCTCGTGGTGGATACAAATTAGAGGAGATAATGAATCATCTTGACAGCTTCTGTTTACATTAGTTATAGGTCAAAGAATTATTACCTATAAATGTTTTTAGAATAATTTTCCCATTAGCAGTATTTTTAGTAGTTCTCAATATACATAATACCTAAAAATGTAACCTCTTGGTGGTATTCATAAAATATTTAAAAAGTTATTTTAACAGCAAAGTTTTGGAGATCATTTTTTCTTTTTGTCGCATTTTCAAACGAGTCGACACCGAAAAGTGAGTGTTTGGTTTAGTTCGGATTGGATACAAATTCACAAAGGCGAAATCATGGTCTCACGGGAAATTCACCAATTTTCCACATGTCGTGAGACACTGTCGTTCTTCACAGTCTCATAAGGATGTTAACTTGATCTTTTTGAACCATTTCTCTGTTGTCTTGAATGCGTCAATAATTCCCTTTGTATTATTTTTTGACATGATATCCTCAGGATAGGAGTAAGTCCTAATGTGAGTTTATGCAGTATTGTTATGCTTAGTATGAAATGACCCCTTGGGATTACTTCGTTGGTATCCCCGCCCACTTTCTCTGTTGCCATTGGCTTTAAAGTATCACCGGTGGATGGTTACGCGCTCCAAAGAGTTATCTGTTACATGTGTGTATTTTAGCTAGTGGAGCAAGGGTCCACTTCTAGTATTAGTAACTGCCTTAACGGTCCTATGGATAACGATTCTCTCAAGAAACCGTGGGGCGTTAGGCATCTGAACGCCATACGGATGGATGCACTGGTTCGAAAGTGAACATTACTTTTTTCCCCTCAGCATATACACTACTGATTTTTTAAAAAGTCTGACTTTCAAGTGAACTTACTTGTTCGAAGACTTGCTTGCTGAGTCCTTATTACCTCTTGTCGAAGCCTCTAAAGGCCGAGCCTAAAGCTAGAGGGAAAAAAACAAAAACAAAAAACACTAATGCACAGTTATCTCATATGCACCAGTGATCGTTTCTTGAGCACTTTGTGCAACAGGGGATGTTGTGCAACATCTCGTGGGAAAACACGTCAGGCCTTGGTGTGTTACAGCTGTGGCAGGTGGGTTGTG